AGCGTACACCACTTCGTCGACAGATGCATTTAATATTGTCAATGCTACTCAGTGTGACATGGTAACTATCGTAGTAAAGAAGGTTCTCTGTAGTTAATATTCGAAAATTGAATCTTTTACGAATACATGTGATTTAATTCATCGAATTGTTAATTTAATTAAATTAACAATTCGATGAATTTTCGAATTGTACATAAGAAAATATTTTTAAGGGAAATAAAGGAAAATTCTCTGAAGGCGGAAATCATAAAACGAATTTTATTATTGCGAAATTCGCTTAGATTCTCAGTTCCATTTCGGCATCAATGAAATATTACAATAATGCATATAGAGATGGGGTGGGATTGTTTTTGCAATATGACTTATTTGTTGTAAAGTTAAAATGCGCTCCGGAGAGTTAAAAACAATTTGAATGCACTTGAGATTAAAACTTGGAGATAACGTTATCTGTTAACGAAATTCCTCAAGATCTTCTGCCACAGCCATCACTCATTGATCAGATAACAAGCATTGTGTTTGTCTCAGTCACATTCAGGCACTCCTGCAGACAGCACTCAATGTGTTCATGCAAACGTTGCCAACATAAATTATATGTCATTCATTCAGTGCAAGCTAGTCTGAAAGCAAAAATATTAGATGCAAGTTAATGACGTGAAGCTTTGCGTGCCAATTACCAAGTGGTATACACTACATAGATATCCTCCCAAGTGGTATTTTTCCATATTAAAACGTTTGTCCAGCTATTCAATCCTTCAACACTTTACTTTGCATATAATATAGGTTATTCACTATACATTTGAAGTATTACAAGCTATTTGTCCCAAAAGTTCATGTAAAGGAGGTTAACCGTCTTAAGTGGAAGAGTTGAACGAATGTGTCTTACAGAATAAAGTGATCGTGCAAAAGGCTGACTTGACAGAAGCAACAATGTCGAACAGCAGTGCTGACAGCAGTTCGACCGAGTCGAAATTGTATGCATTGCATTTTCGAAGAGTACGAAACCGGATGACGGCTTTGATAAAATGCAAGAAAAGTCCCGATGAGTTCAGTCACATGGCCTTGATGACCAAAAAACAGGAGAGTAGAGACTGGCTCTTCATATCAATCATTACGCTTGCTGTCAGCTGTTTAGACAAAGTCTTCGACCTTTTGTTCATATTAGAGCTCGCTGAGAGAAAGGAATGGTCATTCATGGCCATTAGCTTATTCTTCACTCTAACTTCGACGACATTGACGTCGCTCTTCGCTGCTCAGAGGTAAGAGCTTTGATTTCAGTTGATCCTTCCCAGACACGTAGCCTTTTTGAGTAGGAAGCATAACATAATCAGCAAACTCGAGGCTTAGAGCAACATGTGATCAACGAGTGTTTCGAAATGTTGATGAAGAATGGTGATTGAGATTGCTGACTGAGAACATTCTTTAACGTCTCAAGGTTTTTCCTCGTTGAAATGAACACAATGCGTTTGAGCCACTACAGTCTCTTAGCATGAAGGTTGCTAAAAAAATGTTATTATTTGCATAGACGACGGATAAATCTGAAAAAACTTAGCGGAAGCTAGGATGAAAATAATTTCTAAATTATTATTGCATCGTCCTCTGTGCGATTTACATGTACTCCTGTACAAGCGGATTTATTCGTTTTATGCCACATACTAAGGTAACTGTTTAAAAAAATACTCGTTATATAACTGCTTCAAAAATATACATTCACTTTTTATGGAATGCACATATCATTCTCTACGATCTACTCAAAATTGACTATCCTGAGCAGCTTTTGGGTGCAGTCATCGAGCATACCAGTATGGAGCAGCGATTGGTTGGAGAAGGCACAGAAGAAACGAAAAGCGTTTCTAGAAAATTTTTTATACAGACCAATAAACAGACGAATTGTTCCACATGACAGCGCTTTCAAAGTAAAACCGTCGATAGACAACAAAGGTGCAAGTCGGAACATTCCAGTTAGTGCATGGGGTAATGTAGAAACAGTATTTACTATAACAGACGTGTTGCATTCTAATGATGAATTGGTTGCATCGAAGAAATCTTCTCGAGACCGCTGCAAGGAACACTGCACCATTCCTTGCGGTCACTCACCTCAGTCAAACGAAAACAATGCCTTCGATAATTCTTTAGTGAAAGAATCCTCAGTTTCAATGGCATCCGAGTCATCCTTTACTAAAAGCGTTTCACAACACAGTGAAGGTTCAGAAACAACAGCGTCAGCCGGAGACACAACCGAAGTTCCTCCCAGTGAAATGCAAGAGGTACAATTCCGACCGTGGGTGCGTTACATGCTAGGTGCAATTTTCTGCACTGGACTCCTGCCGGAATGGGTGTAAGTGCGAACCAAAAAGTGATGTCCTAGAGTGCATTGTCCCGATCATCTAGTTTCCTCGAAGATAATAATTGAACTGACAGTTATGTGCGTATAACAATTTTTTATTTTATGTATATCATAGATTTTATTTCGTATGTTTTGACAATTTTCGACTTCATATTTTATATATAGACCAGGACCGATATTGCAGCAACTCATAAATGGGGAAAAATCCTAAATTTGATTTATTCCAATGATCATGATTTAATTGCATATTTTCGACTCATTTATTCTGTATCTTACATAACTTTTTAGAAACAATCGCATAAAAATTCAAACCTTTTAATTTAAACTTGTAAAATTTAATTTAAATTAAATTGAAGTTAGTTTAATAATAATTTTAAATTACGATTTAACTAAAATTTATCTAATTAATACTTGAGATATATAATTTGGATAGAATCAATTTATATGTTTGCAATTGTAAACTTTTTTCTTCTGCACAGACTGGTGGTGAACTTATCGATGTACGCGGGAGCTGGCGAGGACCGCGTGCTGATCGGGCAGCTGTTGCGGGACACTTGGTTCGTGCAGACCATCAAGCTGAGTGAGGCTCTGCTCGAGTCCATCCCGCAGATACACATCAAGATATTCTACTTCCTCACAACAAGTAAGGCTTCTAGATCCAGAATTCTTAGCGTTCACCTGCAGTCACATGATTCAAGTATAGTTGCTTGAAACTTATTGTTGAAAAAATCAAATGACGATGGGGTGGCCCAGCGGTTAAAGTTCAGAGTACCAAGATTGGAGCAGAGAGGCACGGGTTCGATCCCAGCTCTGTGCGCCAGTTTCTGGTCAAAATCGGCGAGGTGGCCGGGCGGTTAAGCACAGCAGAATTGTAGCAGTGTGTTGCGCGTTCGAGACCACAACAAGCTGTGTATGCTCTGCAATGTTAAGAATCGGTGACAGGCCTACGGCCTAATAAACGCTGAAACCACTATACTATACTATATTATACTATACTGTACTATGAATTGAAGTTTACCATCTGCAAACTTATCTATGATGCCGTTGTATGATTCAAGTTTACTGTCGTAACCGTATTCATGAAGTCATATTGAAAATGTATCAGCAGGAAAAGTATTTTTGAAAAAATTGGATGATTTTGATGCCAATGCTGTTTTTTAACAATGAGAAATGAATAACTGGCTATTCAGGAGTTGGCCAATTTATTCTGAAGCATTAAGCAACTTTCTTCTGACGGCTGACGAATATCACTTTCGTTTTTCAGGGATATTTCTGCAGTAATTTTGTTTTGAATTCTGTTTCATTTGCGTGATTACATAATAAAAAATGCTCGGCAGATAGATCGTAATTACTTTATATTTTATGATATGGTAAATTGTGCTGTGTATTTATGCAACCAACAGTTGCAAAGTTTTATAAAACTTTCTTATTATTTATAAGCTCTTGCACGTACCAGTCCATGCTTCATTTCAGAGAGCTGGAGCATCAGTCAAGTGTTTGGTTTAGGCGTAAACGCGACATCCATCGGCATCGGACTGATCTCAGCTCTGCATGTTCAAATTCCATACAAAGTGGTCGGATTCGTGTTCATATTCAGCAACCTAGGTGAGCAAATTCAAGTGCAAGCAATGGAATTACCAAAATTTTGCAACATTCATAGAAACATCCATGAGAAACTTTTATCGCATAATCCCAAAAATCTTATGTATATTTCAAAGTTTAGTGTAGTTAGGCAGTTGTTTTTAATTTTTGCAGGTTTGATTGAAGACCAGAGCATGCTTCTTATTAACAATTTTTTTTTCAGTAAGCCGAATGAAATTTTTTGTTGGCGCTAGGATATCGAAAAGCAGGTTATCAAATGTTATTTTATTGGAATACGACGTTTCGACTATTCAATAATGATTCTAAAGTAGGTTAAGAGTTTTACAACCCTTGAAATTTATAAATGACATAAGTACATACAAAAGGCATCGTAGTAGATGCGGTTCGAAATCAAAACTTAAAATTAACATAACATAACATAGTGATGTCGGCGTTGAAGTGTAGGCCTGATGTGGCCTGTCGCCGATTCTTTTCCTTTTCGTGCCTTGTTCATAGATCTAAACTCGTGTCATTTGACCGGATCTTTTCATGACTGGCGATAGTTTGAAGTAGCTACTAGACTTCCAGCGGGTTCGATAGGGAGCTAGGCATTTCAAATCTGAACATATATTTTTCCATAGCTTTATCTAGTCTGTTCTTGAAAACTTAAAATTACTCCGGAATCAATTTCAACTTTCTGAAAAATCCGGTGGGTTGCAAATTGATAGCTGGAGACTCATCTTTGATGATGAGAGCCTCTGTTATCGCCAGTTTCGTAGCGTCGAGGCACCGCATGACGATGCTGGTGCCCGCCTCCGGCGATGCTGATGGGTCTCGTTGTGGGCCTCCCGCATTTGGTTCTTTGGTCATCCAGTTTGCAGATGGCAAGTGGGTAGGCGGCTTAAGGTCGAGCTGGTCAAACCGATGTTATATACATTATATGGAGGAGTCTACGACTTTCTTTCGTGCAGGAGAATTGGTAAATAACATTAGTTTCTTGCAGTGGTCCCAACTTTTTACATTGATTACTTTTCATGATTCAATTCATGCTTTTCTTGTTTTTAGAGTAAATCAAGGGTTTTATTTGGTCAGTTACTGTCAGTCAAAACGTCGTATTGCACTAAAATGTCGTTTTGTAACCTACTTTTTGATCTCCAAGTGCCAGCTAGAAATTTAGTTAGACTTATTGAAAGAAAAAAACAATGAGAAAATTGTTAATAAAAAGCATGCTCTGGTCTTCAATAAAATCAACATTACCTTCAAAATTTCCGTATGTTTGTTTAGGAAACTTGGCGTCGCATGTATAATAGGCCTTTCACGAGCATATAAATAAAACTTATAGCATTGAGATTTTGCTTGGACCTTAAAATTTATTCCTTACGAGAGAATTATAACGGGTTTTAAAATTGAGAGGGAAAAATTTTACCAAAAATTGAAATCTACATTTTAATTTATTTGTGTAAGTTCGATTTAAAGACGCAAAAATTTTTTTCAGACTTATTGACAAGATTCATAAAAAAATAACTTTTCCAAGATTTTCACACGCTACTTTTTTAATGAGAATACATTATAGGTATTAATTTTACGAGATTCGTTATAAGGGTACTCTAAAATTATATGGATTACCGTTGTAGGGCATAGTTGGNAACTTCCTGGTTCGTAACATAAATCTTGTGTAATTTGAAAAATTTGAAAATTCTTAAGCAATATCATGTGATGAAATACTCGTGCACCGAGTTTTGTTTATTTGTACTATTGTAGAAAGTAAGAGGATTTTTTTTCGAAAATGGGCGTTTTTCTATTTGAATTTCTTAGCATAACAAATTAATTCTATTCCTTGTTTTGCTCCAGCAATTAATGATCATCACATGACCTCCCGTTACATGCGTTAAGGTCCCTGCAACGGAAACTGGAAATTCATTGCGAGAATTACATAGCATGCGTAAAGAATTATACAATTTTTCAATTTCTATTAGAATGTCTAAATTATCTTTATACCTGAGTCGTACTTCGATCAGCACCCAAATCACACATAAATAACACGAATTAAACTACTCCGCTCTGCAGTGGCAAGGATGTCAGTGAGCGCAGCCTTGAATCAAGCGACAACCAACGGGGTTTACTTCGCAACCTTCGCCTGCGCGCTGACCATCTCAGCGGCGGTGACAGCGTTCAAGACGCTCGTCCACAGAGGAAACTACCGACGTTACCTTAGCCCACTTGAGAAGTACGTTGGAGAACCTATCTTCCGCACCTTCTGCATGCCTCCTGAAGACGCCTCGGGACTCTTGGTGTCGGGGGTGTTCGTGGTGGCAGGTGTCGTGTTTTGTGTCGTGTATGACGGCGAAGACAGGGTCTTACTATCCTCGATGGTGGTTTGTGTAGCGGTGTTTGGTCAGGGTTTGGCCGGTCTGGCTTGGTATATTGTCGGAATAAGCGAACTGAATTACGAAAACAAGAAAAAAACGAGTATGATGCCACATACGTCCATTAGTATTGGTCACAGCACAAAGCAACAGGATTAGTTAGATTTTTTTAGGAAATAGTTGTGGACTACACGAAAAGACTACATGAATTCGTAGGTTTCTTCAAGCGTTTAATACTACTGATGATAGCCAAAAAAAGAAATAAATTAAATAGAGGGTAAATGAAAAAGTAAATGAATCAAATTCAAGTACGATTTCAAGACGCATTCGCTTTGGATGCAAGGAAATAAAAGATCATGAATAAATTAATTTACTGCACAGTGTGGTGCAATAGTCAATATAAGTACAGTACAGTAATTAAATATGTTTAAAGGTCATATAATTTACATTTTCAGTTAGAATAAAAGTATAGTTAATTCCGGTGAACCATGTTTATTATATTTTAGGTTCGTGTTTTGCTTCCATGACATAATTTTGTTTTTAATTGAAGCGTTGCAGCAGCATTTATTCTCATTATGCCATCTACCGAGAAAACGTGTCAAGTTTACCTCCATCAGATGATCAAAATTCAGGAAAATCCATTACTATCCAATTAATGAAAAATATGTAGGGATAATATTCCTAACTAAACTCATTTTAACATCAGGTGATTATACTAGGCAAATTTTTTGAAGCAAATTTAGATGAATTCCGAAGTTAGGCTTGTCTTTTTGTTAATTTTTATTCAAGTTTAAACTTGTCAGAGGCGAAAAACTGCGTCGACGACGAAAACATTTCAAGAACAAAATGATATTGAAATTCAGTGCATATGGACCGAAAATACGTACTGGCAACTATGATACGCGTGGGATGGCCTTCGATTTTATTTCGATTGGATTTTTAACAGCCAGGAATTGTTAATGGATGAACAAAATGGTATTGAAATTCAATGCATATGGACAGCCCAGAAATATGTACTGGCAACTATGATGTGCGTGGTATGGCCTTCGATTTTATTTCGATTGGATTTTTAATAGCCAGGAATTGTTGATGGATATTTAGAACTGCACCGTCCAATTCTGAGAATTTTCATTTTTTTATAATCTGACAAAAACGCCCGAAATGAGACGGTCAAGGTTTATTCACTTTAAATAGAAACTGTAACGCTCGTAAAAAATGTCAATAATAAATATAACAAATTATATAATATGATTACTTCCCAAGCCTTCAAGAATAACAACCCATCACTTGTACAATAAAGCTGACCAGGAAGGTTGACATGTTTGTAGTATAAATGAGACAAGAGCAATATTGCTGATATAAAGTAACTCCATGGCAGACATTTAAAATACAGCAAGAGAACAACATTTCTAGAGATTTTTAACACAACATTTTTAACACAATGCCTCCTGACTCTCTTAGTAAAGGCCGTCTTCCCTGCGACTGCAAACCTTTTAATATTTCGAGCGCGAATTAGAAATTGGGTGAAATCAGTATAAATATATTACCCCGGTAAAGAAGTAAATAAAATTGAGGTCTTTATATTTTAAAACAGAATAACATGAAATATTTTACCTTTATTGGATTTCAACCCAGAAATCTAAGTTTTAATGGCAACAGGAATGCGATAAAATATGATAAGCGAACGAAATTAAACAGCTTGACTCTTTTATACACGTTCCCTTGGTAACGTCAACCTTGGTAACGTCACCCTTGGTAACATCACCCTTGGTAACATCACCCTTGGTAACGTCACCCTTGGTAACGTCACCCTTGGTAACGTCACCGTTGGTAACGTCACAGTAACATGCATCGAAGTACTCCAAATGAGCTGGAAAGCCACGATTAATTTGATTCACGATGAAAGTGACCTAAACATACAGAAACATTTTACCGATGAAGATAATGATGATGGTAAATGTCAACAGCAAAACAATAAAATCATGATAAAATATCATATTATTATACTTTCAATTACTTGGCCTTATCATGGTTTATGATGCAAACATCTTAGCTCTACTGTGGTTTTCGATGCAAAAATATCACAGATTCCAGAGTGATTATCTGCGCGAACTAATTACTACTAAAGGTACAATGGTTTCGTATAGCAGCGTCACTTACTGACGTTAAATTTCGGAACATAAAACCATGGTCCTGCTGAATCAATATGATCATCACAACCGACCAAACAAGCAGTAGCGCCATAATCTTACACAAATCGTCGAAGTTACTAAATGAACCTCAAAAACGAAAATGAACCTCAGTTACGAAATGAACCTCGTTATTCTGAAACCTCAAAGCGTTCAATTAATCGAATAATTAATTCACCATTCTGTTTTCCAAAGCACGAATCTAGCACAAGAAACCACATTGGAGACTAGATGATGAGACTGCGGTTACAAAACCCCAATACTGAAATAATCTGTATCCTACACAGAAGTAATTTTGATCAGATTCTGTTCATTAAGGACGCCTCTATGTATATCTGCATGTCTTTATGACTGGGGTCACTGGGTCCGTGGGTTGCCACTTGCCACGTCAGCGCAGCGCTGGTAAATATTCAGATTCTGTTCATTAAGNATAAATACGCCTGGAAACGTGCAACAAATTATTGATTATTGTATTGTCATCGGGAGCTGAGCTTCCCTAAAAGTTTCAGAGCGCTAGCTAGCGGGAAAGTTGGTGAAATATCGATTGCAAGATTTGATCATCACAAATAGACAGACAGACAGACGGACACGAAAGCGAGCTAAGAAAAACGTGGTAAAATATGGAAACAAGCAAAGAAAACAAACCGCAAACATAATTGCAACCATTCTTCAGAAAAGACAAATCCCTGACCAGCGAAATTAGTGAAGGCAGCCCCAGGGTCTGTCCAGAACCGGGACGACGGGTCCTGGAGGTCTGCAAACCACTGTCTGCTACCGACGACATCAGCAGGGCCTTCAGGTCTGTTCTGCGCCAAGTGAAGGTCTGCTGCTGTGCCGAACTGTTCAGCCATGCGAGCATATCTGCCGGGTACACAGTGACTAAATAATTAGGGTAACGCAACATCAATGTCATTATTAGGAACTGACTAATAATTTCAAAGTCGTTGTTCCGCTATTCGAGCATTTCTGCCACAATAAAGATACGCAGTGACTAAAAATTATTACAGGACAGCGTTAACGTCATAATAAGTGATAACTCAAATACCAACTAATAAATTTAAAGTCGAAACAATAAAGTCAAAATAATTTATATTCTTCAAATGCTCAAAGTTGTTCAACAAACATTTTGCGTTTAGCCAAGGGTAAGATATGCGCTTAAAAGTAAAGCTTAATCCAAAAGTAATCAAATAAAAATGACTTAATAAAATTTGAAATAAAATTTAAATAGTAAAATGTAAGCTAATCACCGTCGAAAGACCGCCAGTTCGCCCTTGGAGAGCTCCTTGTACAGCGTTCCATACGACGCTTCAGGATTGGGGAACAGACGCTCTACGATGCTCATGGACTGAGCTCCGGAATCTGTTTCTTCCCGATGGTTCACCTTCCCCAAAGGCAGGAACTGTCTTTCTAAATGAGAACATTGCTCATTTTCATATATGGTTCTTAGTTCGGTATCAAATTTCTTCAGTGCAGACACCGCAGCTGACTCTCGACTTCGACGTGTTTTTTCTTCGTTAAGCTCTTTTTGGTCTCGGCTCTTGAGACGAGCGAGCTGAGACCCTCTTCTCACCAAACTAATCTTCAGTTTGGTGGTGGCAAATGGTCTGGTAATTTCAGAGAGCAGCTTTTTGGTTAATTTAAAGTTCGTCGCTAAAGCATTTTTGGAGCCACTGTTTTTTTGGCTGTATTTAAGCCACTCCAACGGAGTTTCTAATGGAGGGTGGATACAATGGACGTCTGCGGTGCTGCTGCTTTCGTCGCTAGAACTGAAAACAAGAACAAATCTCAGGCAAAATTAATCAAGCATTTACAGGTTTTTATTAAACTCTCAATCATTGGAGTGCAAAACAAATAAAAACGAGACTTGTCGTAAGAAATAAAATTATATTATACTTCGAGCATCCGGTTCGAAAAGTAAATACGAAAAAGCAATATATTTAAGCAATGAAGAAGTATATGGCAAGCATATAATAAAAAATTTGGCACCCTATGCTAGGTTAGTGCAAAGTAAATCAAGAATATAAGAAGTGTCAGCGCTTCTTCCCGCCAGATCTCTACACCAAACTTACCTGCTGCGCGACGCCGCTGAGTTGCTCTTATTTTTGGATCGTGAACCATCGTGGTCTTTCTTAGCGTTGCAGGCTGAGGAAAAAATAATCAACATCATGGATTTGCCAAAACTAATCCAATAGAACACATGAGTATGGGCCTCTGATCTTAAAAACAGAAATACTAGTGACTAGTAGAGAATAGATTCGGTGTGCAAGATATAAAATAGATGTAAAAAAGTGTAGTAGAAATAATGTAGAAGATATAGGTACTCTATATATATACTAGATCGTAGATATAATATATAACCGACATAAACGTAAGGCGGACGCAATAATTGAACTGAATAAGTGAAGTAACAGCTCAGCTGTTCATGCACATTCTAGCAGTATGGTGCCCGGCTAGGCTGTGAGCGCGGTCACTAGGTTTCATTTCGAGTTTCAGACTTGCTCGATCAAAACTAATAAGCGAAACGAGCATTTAAATTTGTCATCCTCCACTAAATAAATATGATTTTTTAAATACCAGGCCGGACATCCAGTTGCCTTAATACAAGCCCAAAGCCTTTGTTACAGCTGACATTACCAGATGCTTAGATAAAGTGACAGACGTTGCTGAGTTCATTTTCTAGAGTTATTTAAACTATCAGAAGAAAGCCCTAGGTTGCTTAACTCTACCTCAAACCCGCACCACACAGCGGGCCAAAAACTCCAAAAAGGTTCAATGAAGAAATTGAAATGCACACGGCTTATCAGTCGAGAATAACCCTGATAACCCTTCATCGAATCAATTCCAAGTCTCTGATCAGGGGCACTACTTTCAAAACTCGCTAAGTTAACGTAAGTACTTACGCTCTATTTTCTTGTCTATGATTGCTGGATTCTGCTTGAAATGCCGTCCATGATTGGCTAATGAACTTACGATCTTTTAATTGAAAGTATGGCCCCAGGAATATAAAGCTGCCTAAAATTATACCATACAAGTAGGCTGCACATACCATAGAAGTACAACATTACATTTAACTTCCTTAGTTTACTTAGTTAAAGTTGCACGCGAGCCTCGCGCTGCTAACTGCCATGTAGAGGACCAATATAAGTCCATATCTCACGATTGCCCCGCCATGCCTCACGATTTCCTCGTGATTGCCTGGCGATTGTTGCCGCTCACTTGGTATGCTGGAGACGCTGATGGTATGCTCACTAGTCTGCTGGTGCTGCTGCCGCTTGCTGGGCGCAGGCCGCGCCGTGAACGGACTTTGGTCCTCGGAGCTCGAGCTCAGATTCGCCCTGCCGAGGTCAAAATTCTAAATAATTTTAAATAATTTAAATGTGTGATAAACTTATACTTCAATAATTTAAATTCGTAATAAACTTTGTTTTGTGATCAACTTAAACGTGTTATAAACTATATTTCTGAGCAATTTAGACATGTGATGGACGATATATTTGAGCAATTTAAACTACTCCAGAATTATATTTTCAAACCTTCGAAACTTTGGATAGACTTTAGATCATTTTTAGCGAATTTTCTCATTTATGGAAAAATGTACTATTGTGCTCGCCATGTCCGTCAGTCCGTCCGTCCGTCCGTGACTTCACGTTTTCGTCGACGAGAAAATGCGCTCTCTGTCACTCACTGCAGTGAGTACTGAGTTATATTTTTTGAATAATGTATACAAATTTGAACTTGTGATTATATAGATGTGATCTATGTGTCACTCTCAGCTTCATGGAAATGTTTGATAAATTCATTACATTAAAGCATGGTACTAAATGCATGGGTAACCAGGAATTTGAAAGCAAAGACAATACCACAAAAAATCACCATATCTTTATAAGAGAAAATGTTTCCAGTCCAGCTCAATCGTCAAATCATAACACAAAATTCAGTTCGGAAGAAGTTCAGTCCTAGAAACACAAATACAATCAATTAGTAAAGTAAGATGCACTGTCAGGTTTTAAAACGGTAAATAATTAAAAAATATAACTCAGTACTCACTGCAGTGAGTGACAGAGAACGCATTTTCTCGTCGACGAAAACTTGAGGTCACGGACAGACGGACGGACATGGCGAGCACAATAGTGCATTTTTTCCATAAATGAGAAAATGCGCTAAAAAGACATGAAATTAACGCTAATAAACGGCCTGACAGTGCATTTTACTTTACTAATTGAAAAAAAACTTCTGAACTGAACTTTTTGTTATGAACTGACGATGGAGCTGGACTCCGAAACATTTTTAGAGCATTATCTCATTTATGGAAAAAATGCACTATTGTGCTCGCCATGTCCGTCTGTCCGTCAGTGACTTCACGTTTTCGTCGACGAGAAAATGCGCTCTCTGTCACTCACTGCAGTGAGTACTGAGTTATATTTTTTCTTGTAAGGATATGTTGATTTTTTGTGGTATTGTCTTTGCTTTTAAATTCCTGATTAACTTGCGATTTAAGCAAACAAGTGAATATAATATGCATAGGTAAACGATAACGTGAGTCCGGATAGACACAACTGTACGTGCAGCTCAAATTAGGCCATAAAAAAACTAGTGATAATGGTATAACATATACATATATACATTTGATCATTCAGCTGTATGGGATTACTTGACCAATTGTTACATTATAGACATATTAATGAATGAATTTCACGATCGACGCAATAGTACGGTCAGCACCTTCGACTGTTATTATGTTCACACATTCAACGGTTATTTATCAATTTATCATCAATTTACCAGTTATTTATTATTAAACAATTCATCAATTTATTATCGATTTATCAGTTAATAATAAATCATTAAACTATTTATCAATTTATCAGTTATTTATAAATCATTAAGCTATTTATTAATTTATTGTCTGTTTATCATTTAATCATCTCACTTGGCCGTGGATGTGATGCTCTGCTGGAAGTGGTCGGCCATGACCGTCAGCTCGAAGGGCCACTTAGATAAAGTGACAGACGTTGCTGAGTTCATTTTCTAGAGTTATTTAAAGTATCAGAAGAAAGCCCTAGGTTGCTTAACTCTACCTCAAACCCACACCACACAGCGGGCCAAAAACTCCAAAAAGGTTCAATGAAGAAATTAAAATGCACAAGGCTTATCAGTCAAGAACAACCAAGATAACCCTTAATCGAATCAATTTCAAGTCTCTGATCAGGAATATTAGGCTGCGTATAATTATACCATACAGGCAGGTTGCACTTACCGTATAATTACAACATTACATTTAAATTCCTTAGCTTACTTCGTTAAAGTTGCGCGCGAGCCTCGCGCTGCTAACTGCCATGTAGATGAGGACCAATATGTCCTCACGATTGCTAAGCCATGTCTCACGATTGTCTCCCGATTTCCTCGTGATTGTTGGCGCTCACTTGGTATGCTGGAGACGCTGATGGTATGCTCACTTGGTATGCTGGAGACGCTGATGGTATGCTCACTTGGTATGCTGGAGACGCTGATGCGTCTCTCGACCTCGTCAGTCTGCTGGTGCTGCTGCCGCTTGCTGGGCGCAGGCCGCGCCGTGAACGGACTTTGGTCCTCAGAGCTCGAGCTCAGATTCGCCCTGCCGGGGGCACAGCAATTTTCAATAATTTTCAATAATTTAAATGTGTGATGAACTTTGTTTTGTGATCAACTTAAACGTGTGATAAACTATATTTCTGAGCAATTTAGATATGAGATGGACGATATATTTGAGCGCTTTAGACATGCGATGGACGATATATTGGAGCAATTTAGACATGTGATGGACGATATATTGGAGCGCTTTAGACATGCGATGGACGATATATTGGAGCAATTTAGACATGTGATGGACGATATATTGGAGCAATTTAGACATGCGATGGACGATATATTTGAGCGATTTAGACATGCGATGGACGATATATTGGAGCAATTTAGACATGAGATGGACGATATACTTGAGCGATTTAGACATGAGATGGACGATATATTTGAGCGATTTAGACATGAGATGGACGATATATTTGAGCGATTTAGACATGCGATGGACGATATATTGGAGCAATTTAGACATGAGATGGACGATATATCTGAGCGATTTAGACATGAGATGGACGATATATTCTGAGCGATTTAGACATGAGATGGACGATATATTGGAGCAATTTAGACATGTGATGGACGATATATTGGAGCGCTTTAGACATGTGATGGACGATATATTGGAGCAATTTAGACATGCGATGGACGATATATTTGAGCGATTTAGACATGAGATGAACGATATATCTGAGCTATTTAGACATGTGATGGACAATAGATTTGAGCAATTTAAACTCCTCCAGAATTATATTTTAAAAACCACCAAAACTTTGGATAAACTATAGAAATTTTTTTACTAATGTATACAAAATTAAACTAATGATTATTATAGATGTGATCTATCTGTGACTTTCAGCTTCATGGAAATGTTTGATAAATTCTAGCATTAAAGCATTATCAATAAATGCATGGGTTAACGATGTCGTGAGTGAGGATAGACACAATTGTACGTGCAGCTCACATCACGCCGTATAAAAACTATATAATAATGGTATATAATACATACATATATACATTTGATCATTCAGCTCTATGGGATTGCTTGGCAAATTGTTACATTAGAGCCATATTAATGAATGGCAGAATTTTCCGATCATGTAGGATTGTAGGTGATAATTGACGCAATGGTACGGTCAGCATCTTCGATGTTTATCAGTTAAAACATTATACCAAATAATCCGAAGTATGAAAATTATATAAAAGCATTAAAAAATTAAGCTCAAATCAAAATAAACTTCAGATTTTCTGCTTGCGACTGATAGAGAAAATTGCTAACGATTAGAAAATAACTAAATATATTAATATTCTGACGTAAAATATGTTTATTCACTTAACGGCTATTTATCAACGAATCATCTATTTAATAATTTATCAGCTAGTAATCAATTAATCATCTATTCATGATATAATCATCTATTCATCAATTTATCGTCTGTTTATCATTTAATCATCTGACTTGGCCGTGGATGTGATGCTCTGCTGGAAGTGGTCTGCCATCACCGTCAGCTCGAGCTATTCAATTAAAGACAATAATCAGTGTCCAGGCAGGCAGTGGGCAGAAAAGTGATATCCCTACTATTTCCTTAATTAAAACACGATTCGTAACAAGATTTTAAAAATTAACCATACTGAATCTTGGTTTCTGATTAAAAATATTTTTCACACTGTCCTCATCATGTATCATACCTCATATCTTTGTTTTGTTATTCACTGACGAAGTGAAGTGATTTAAAAAATGATTTTCTAAGACTAGCAGATAATTTTGCGCTGGCATGACTAAAGTTTGGCAGAGTGCAAGTATTTTAAGGGCTGTTTTAACGGTTGGATGTTACCCGAAAAAAAAATTTTTAAAGAGCACACGAAAAGGAACATGAACTTAATGAGGTCTGACCGCAGAGAAACATGCGTCTGTCAGGGGCGCCACAAACGAAGTTCGTTTGGTAAGCAGCTCGAGGGGCAGCGGGAGACTGGCCAGCAGCTCTCGCTCCCACCACTGGTCTTCAGCGCTCCTGTACAATACCGTTAGAGGTTAGAGAAGTTTCGTGCAATAGCTTCGTGAAACTAGGATGACTAGAAGTTTCGTGCGACGAGCTGGTGAAACTGGGATGACTAGAAGTTTCGGGCGCCGAGTTGGTGAAACTGGGATGACTAGAAGTTTCGTGCGACGAGCTGGTGAAACTGGGATGACTAGAAGTTTCGGGCGACGAGCTAGTGAAACTGGGATGACTAGAAGTTTCGTGCGACGAGCTGGTGAAACTAGGATGACTAGAAGTTTCGGGCGCCGAGTTGGTGAAACTAGGATGACTAGAAGTTTCGGGCGCCGAGTTGGTGAAACTAGGATGACTAGAAGTTTCGGGCGCCGAGTTGGTGAAACTAGGATGACTAGAAGTTTCGGGCGACGAGCTGGTGAAACTAGGATGACTAGAAGTTTCGGGCGCCGAGTTGGTGAAACTAGGATGACTAGAAGTTTCGGGCGCCGAGTAAGTGAAACTAGGATGACTAGAAGTTTCG